GCAAAACATTGAAAGCTGTTAACTCTGCAAATTTACATACAGTATTACTTGAAATTAAATGTTTTATTTTCAAAACCTCTCCCTATATAAAGTATGCACTACCTGTACAGCAGATAAAAGTATCAGATCTTTTCATCTGAAATTTTATTCCCTAGCTTGTTAGGTTTAACAATACTATGAAAACCATATTTATAAAATACCCCTTCCTGGGGTTTACTCAATATTAGCATGTCCTGTAGTGGTAAAGATCTTGTAAAGGTACCAGGTGAATTGAGTTCACAGTTGGAGTACCAACACTTACAGTAAATCTACAAATGTACATCGTTAGAATGACTAAGAGAAATTTTCATTCTGTTATTGGTATAAAATGTTACAATAACACTGGCTACCTTATATTAGTTCTTATTTTGTTGCCTGAAAACCAAGATATATTGCCTTGAGCTGGCAATTTTGTCAAAAACATGGCCCAATGTACTGGCTGAAATAAACATTCCTGCGGTTGACTGTGGTATTTCAGTCCTTTTATGGTTATGCTTCTCCTGTTTTTCTTATATACACAAGACTGTCCTGGATGCTTCTGCAAATTGACAGTAGAAATAATAAAAAGACCTTGATGCCTTACCATTGGGAACTTTTGGCTTGCCCCTGATGCAACTATAAATAATTGGAAGCTGAAACTAGCTGCCACTATTTGGTTGCCAGCATTTTTGTTAGCCTGAGTCACGCAGCAGTTTCATCAGGACCGTGGTGAGACTTCAGGAACTTTGTCCCCATTATTGAAGTGTCCCCTCTCTGTCATCGCATGATGACTACAAGTATTATTTATGATGCACAGGCAAGGTTACAAAAATACCAGTTTGGCAAGCAAGCTCATACAATGGAAACATATGTCAAGTGTTATCAGTGGTTTCTATCCCAGGAAAAAAAACAGTGCTTCTGATATTTCGGTATTGTTGACTTTATCAGGGTTCCACCCTTTTTAATTAATATATTTCAAATAAAGACTTGTCAATATCCAGATGTAACAGCATGAGGAAAAGCCCTGTAAAGAAATAAGCCTGAAGCTCTATAACTCCTTATCAGCCTGTTTGAATATCCCGCTTGACAATGTCTCTTCCTTAACAGAGCTTGTGTGTGCTTCTGAATGTGTTGATTGTAGGGGTAATGGTAGAATTCATAGCTGAAGCAGTTGTAGTATTTTTTATTATGATTTCAGTGGATACATAAGAATTGTTGTTTCCTGGGTTTGTTTTCTTTAAGATAGAGTAATCAGTGGTTCACAGTACACCAATAATGTTTCATAAAACTGAAATTTTGAATCTGGACATCCTTTTTGAAGCAGTAACAATAAAAGGACACACTAGCATAATTAAGGATGCTTATTTTTCTTATTTAATGTAAACATCAAACTGACTCTTTATCCTTTAAAAACATTAGATAAATTGATAAATTCACATGTTTTTCAAACAGAGGTGACCAATGCTGTTACTCGGAATAGTGACTTTTCACAGTGTTTCACAGAAAAACAAATCATTTGAACACAAATTAAAGCTGCCGTTTCAGATTTTTCTGCCTCTCTCTAGGAAAAGAAGTCCTTAAGTTGTACCTTACTATCTTATCACTCTACTACAGTGTATACTCCTCTTTACTCAACTTCTGGTGTATCTGAAGTTGGTGCATGTCCTTAAGAAAGCCAATCTTTTGGTAAATTATCACTCATTTAATTTACCAGTTTTAACTAAAATTATTGAAATTGTGGTGGTTTTATGGGAAGTATCTGTGGAAAAACAAATATGAGGAAATGTTGAAAATTATTTGACACATGTTGCAATGTCATTGGTTTTCAGGCAACCCATTAGAAATGGTGCTACACCATTGCAAGGACAGTGGAAGTAAGGTGGTACTGTTTCAGAGTCTTAAATACTGTATGAGGTGGCTATTGGGAAAGAATTCTTATGTGGCAAGGTGATAGTTTTCGTTAATAAAGACTATTGTTAATGACAGATTCCAGCCCAACACATTTTAAACAGTGCTGTAAGCAGGACTCATGGCTTTCATGGTAGTTTCTCGATAACAGAAGAGATTAACTTTCTACCAATAATTTGTCAGGAACATCTTTCTTTAATCGGGATTAACATAAATGTTTTATTATTCACGTAGGTTTGTTCCTGCACATTGTTTTCCTGTTCCAGATTGCTTCACATGTTCCTCTGAGAGCTTTGGGACAGGCCTTGTAGCTGGACTTGGATCATGGACCTTATTTTGCCTACTAATCCCTATGACATAGCAAGTGAAAAATCAGCATGACATCCAGTACATCTTTGAATATGATTTTCCTTGCGATATTGTGAATTGTACTGTATGAGTAAGAGGTCAAATGTTTCATTCGATCACAAGGGAGGTACTGCATATTTGTTAATTATCTGTGAGCAATTATAAGTCCTGATGTCATACTTATACAAAGGCAAAAGCCAAATACCAAAAGACCACTCTGTCACTGTCAGAATGTACTACTTGTAACATTCATCATTACTTATTGAAGGTGTAGAAAGAAATCTTGCTCTTGAATACATAGCCTTATAGCTTATGTACTGTAGGGAATAAATTAAAATGTTGGTATAAAATATGCTAAATACAATGGGATGATTCTAAGTTCATTGCTTATAAATTTTAAGTACTTAAATTACTGTATCTGTTCTAATAAAAATTCTATTTTATGGATTAATGGCTTCTTATTGATGACTGCTGTCATGCCAAAATATAGAAATTACTTACAGAGATTTGGTCCAGGTTAAATTTCTCTTATTCATAAGAACATTAAACATTTTTAGCCATTTAGGCACATACTGTTTCCTCTCAAATGTAAGAAACCCCGACCCAGACAGTGTAAACACAGGAGTTGAACACAAGGATGAAAAATTATTTCAATACATCATGGTGCTGTGGTAAAAGTGGCCCAACATGTGAAATGAGTGCTTACAGAACAGGCAAATGAGTTACAACTCTGTATGTGTATTTAGCCCAGTGCCTTTCTTATTGACTACTATAGTATGTTGACTTTGGAATGAATACAGACAGATATAAAACCTTAACTATGTACTAAACTTGCATAGTTTGACACACTCAACAGCTTCCTCTAGCATCTGACAAACCCTTCACTAGAACTAGATAATATAACAGTAATTATGGGCTATTTTAGGATATCATAATGTAAAGAGGAATTTTGTAAGAGCAAACCCTTAGTGGCATCACAAGATCGCTAATCAAAATGGCTGCTTTATTGCATTACACAGTGTACTGTAGGCCTTTATAGTCAAATTCTGCAGATGCAGATATCAAAACAGTAATTTTGTTATGAAATTACATTTTTATACAGTTTCATTGTACACACAACAATTGAGTTAAAGGTGGAAATCATGTATAATTTAGTCTAGAAGAAAAAAAGAGATTTCTGGTGGGAAACAAAAACGAAATGGAAGTATATTTACCTTAACTTAGCCAACAGCAATATCACTCTGCAACTCACAACTGGCAGCCCACTGAAGCTCAGCAGCTCAGCTCAGCCTGGTCAGTACCTGGATGGGAGACCTCCTGGGAAAAAGAAGGTTGCTGCTGGAAGAGGTGTTAGTGAGGCCAGCAGGGGGCGCTCACCCTGCGGTCCATGTGGGTCCTAAAGCCCTAGTATAGGGACAGGGACACTATACTGTAAACAGGCGCCGTCCTTTGGATGAGACATAAAACCGAGGTCCTCTCTGTGGTCATTAAAAGTCACAGGGCGTTTCTTGAAAAGAGTAAAATTTGGCTTCCTGGCCAAATTTCCCATTGGCCCTTACCAATCATGGCCTCCTAATAATCCCCCTCTATGAACTGGCTTCATCACTCTGTTCTCCTCCCCACTGATAGCTGATGTGTGGTGAGTTTTCTGATGCACTATGGCTGCCGTCGCATCATCCAGGTGGGGCTGTACAGTGGTGGTGGTGGAGGGGAGTCCCCATTACCTGTAAAGTGCTTTGAGTGGAGTGTCCAGAAAAGCGCTATATAAGTGTAAGCAATTATTATTATGAACAATTATGTCTATTTTTTTACTTAAGCTGTAAACTGAAATCTTAAGATTGTTAATATTGTTGTCTCACCATGAGATGAATGAGAGACACTGTCCAGGGTACTGAACAATTGCATCTTATCTAGCAGGTTGGTGGCTGGAGTGATTTATCAGCATTGCTGAATTCAGACCAGCTATGTCATGTTTGCCTGTCATATTCCGTTTCATTCATTTTTAACCTATAGTTTTCCTGACAGAAAACCCAACCAGCTTATTCCTTATCAACATGAATAAAATACAACGATTTGCTTTATCTTCATCTGAATACAGTAGGGACTCAACATTCGTGAAGGTCTGGCGCAGAGAAATTCACCAAATGCACATATAACCATCTCCACCTCATTACCGTCAAATAATATACTACAGTATATACTATTTATGGTTAGAGGACATACGTAATCATCCCATAAATGATAATTAAATTACTAATGCATTGATTTAAGCTAATTAAAATATCACTGGTCAACTAGAACAAACAACAGTAATCAAAAACATATAGTAATCAGCTAACCGGGACCTCCTGACACAGAACCTGGAGCGTTCGACACAAAACCAAAACAAGGCCAGGCTGGGATGAGGATTCTGGGTGTGGGTACCTGGGCAGGGAGCAGGGAGATGCTCACTCACGAGCTAGATTTGTCTCACGATCCTTGTCTTTTGAGCAGCTAATTTGAAAGCTGTGCTTAACAACCTTCAGCTCAGTTTCATCCTGCTCAGCACTTCTTCCATACACGACTGAATCTCGAATAAGTGAATTCGCGGGTGTTAAGTTCGCAGATGTTGAGATCCTAATGTATAATTATTTAGAAGTCACTTGGAGATACACCTTCATACACAGTAAAGAAAGAATGATATCCTGTACTGTTTTTAGACTCAAGTGTTGCTTCTCTCTGCGTAGGTGAAGATGAGATCCAGAAACAATGGGGAGGAAAGCCCAGCCAATGGGGAAATGAGCGTCTCCCAGCCAAGCAATGGCACATCGGAAGAAGAAGAAGATGGAAACACTCAAAACCCTAAGAAGAAAAAGAACAAATCTCGACGGCAGAATGAAGGAGAGGTGATGGTCTCAGGAACAGTCAAAAGGCACCAGAAGACCTCAGAGGCCAGTGACCAAAAAAAGGGATTACTAGACCTTTCCAAAGATGATCTTCTGCGACTTCTGAGTGTTATGGAAGGAGAACTTCAGGTAAGAGGATAATCTGGTATTTATTTTGCATCCACCCAAGCCTGTCCTGTGTCTTTTATTATAGTTAACGAAAGTGTTACTAGCTTTTTAGCCTTGCTGTGTTTAATTTCTGCATAGAAATGCTAAGATTATTCAAACATGTGGTAATGGACAATATTTTGCTGAATATGTGAAAAACAATATGAACTGGTAAAATTGCTGAAATTACCTCCTGCTTTTGCCAAAACCAATAGCTATCATTGATATTTTACCAAACATATGTAAAGTAATCAAAAACGTATAGTAATCACGTACATAGTAATCACATACACACAAAAACTGACAGTCAATACGTAAAGTGTTACTAATAAGCTACTATTTAAGAGTATGGAAATGTAAATATTGCTACTTTAATTAATGGGTTTTTAGATGTCTTGTCTATGATTGTAAGTGTAGAGAAATCATTCTATAGTGCTTTCAGCAGTATTTGTTTCTTGGAATCTATAGTACAGTTTTACTTTGCTTGCTATAAAAAGTAAATGGTTGAAAAACCTTTTACACATAATATATATGCTAATATATAATATATATAATGAATCGAGAGTAACATATACTGAAGAGTAATGTTTTGCATAGTTTTAATATATGGGCAACAGAGTTTTACTGTAGCTCTTACAGGTAATATATACTGAAACACAGCACCTGCTCTCAAGCCATTACTAATTGCACAACCCTAACTGATTGACCTGGGCGGATGATATGAAAGATTATACCATGAATATATCTAAAATAAATATGAATATATCATAGTAATATATCTATCATGAATATAAAATTAAAAAAGTGTATAAAAAACCCATGGAAGGTATAAAATGAATCATTTGAACTGGCATTAATTTTTGCACACTGACATGCTAACATTGCTAAATTATGTGTGACTCATTAATAAAGAATCAGGACACACTTCTGAGAATGCTTTTGACAGAAACATCTCAACATAAAGTCATTAGAGCATTCACGCTACATGTATCCAACAACATGAAAAAAACATCACAGCTCTTCACCCTACTTTTTATCCGAATCTGATGCTTTTCGGTATTCCTTTGTGAAGTCAGCAGTTATCTGCTTTTACATCAATTCATAAGATGGAAATATTTCACTGGTTTTACTATAGCATTGACAGTATGTACAGGTGTCATAATAAGATAAAAGTGCATTGCATCATTTCCACTTTTTTACATTAAAACTGTAGTTTTAATTTAATTTTAATGCATATTATTTATGGTTTCCTCTTATGATGCCTTCTGCCAGTGAGCCCTGGCCTTAGTATTTCAAACAGAGTGTAAGAGGTTCATGTGGCTCAGGTTATTCTTCAGAGCCCTATCATCTCCACTTCTTTCCAACTGGTACAATTCAGACCTGTTGCAGCAGGTGGACAATGTTTTGAAAGGCACAAACCTTTTGTTAAGGAAGGATAAACATTCTTTCCTAAAAGAAGACCTGTTAGAAAATGTATAAATTTGGGGAGAAATCTTCTCTTTGTTGGACAGATTGCTGCCTCTCATAGCATATGCTTATACTGGAAATGGTGGGCTCCCGAAGCATCCTGGAAATAACAGCCATTAATCTCTATCTGTGCCCACTGTAGGCTTTTAAACATTTCCTGATCAGAGATAGGGACGGAAACAGGAAACTGTGCACACATTGTATCAGACATCAGGCTTGCTAATTATTACAGAGTGGAGTTTAATTAATCTCTCCTGAGAGGCAAGGTGTAGACATTTGAGACACGTTGATAGTGCTTCTCTGCTGTTATAGTATTTATTTTTCCATTGTGTCATTAATGTTCCAATGTGAAACTGCAGGAGCCACTGGCACGGGTTTCAGATGTAAATGATTTTCATGCTTTGAGGAAATGTATAGTGCAACTATGCCTCATGTACATTCCCCTAGGCAATAATATACAATATTTTTTCCCCACAAATCAATGTGACAAAGAACAATGCTGCACATTGGTGGTGGTGGAGGGGAGACCCCATTACCTGTAAAGCGCTTTGAGTGGAGTGTCCAGAAAAAGCGCTATATAAGTGTAAGCAATTATTAATTATAATTAACAATAAAGAGTCGCTTTCAGAATGAGCAGATGGTATTAACACATCAATATGCATAATCAATAAGTGGTATGCTTACTAAATAAGCCATGATGTTATAAATAGTAAGATGCTCATTGACAACAGAACTGGCACTGGAATATGTTAGAATATGATATGTTAGTAGAAACAATAACAGTTTGTGCATGGCTAATGTTAATGAAAAAAAACAGGAGTTATTAATAATAGCACAACTGACAGTCAAAACAACTGGATGACATTTAATATACAAAAAGAGGTAGAACAGAAAAGACCTTCATTAGTATTTCCAAGATGGTGAAAACATAGGAGGTAGGTGTGAAGGTGAGAGATGTTATTATACAAGACAGAGAGCGAAACATTGGATAGGAAACTGTCTGAAAAGTAAAACAAATCTGGAATTATTGAGAAACACTAAGAATTTGGCACAATTGTAATGCTTCCCAGAAACAGACACCCTAAGAAACTAGCAGATGCAGCACACAGAAGATCACCCAAAAAGGCTCAGATCAATCCTCTATGTATCATACCAACTGTAATATACTGTGTGTATCCTGACTTGTTTTGTATAGAAACGCTATACAGTATAATCTGAAATCTAGGGTAGGCAGACATCTCGTGTCTGACTTTATAAGTCTTAAGGAACTTTGTTAGCAAAAATGGTCTAACATATCTGCTGACAGATGATAACAGATGTGACTAAAGATGTGAACTTGCCATCACATTTGGAAATAATGTAATAGCAATTGATGACAAATGTACTATTTCAATGATTTGTTTATATTAAATTGTGTATTTGACCCTTAAAGTTAATTGTGATATTTATTCAAATTATGTCAGCTTTTTTTGTATCTGTACAGAAGCTGTAAATATTTCAAGGAAGGAATACCAAGACTTACATTACCACAAATATACAATATGTATGCTGGATTGTGTATACAGTGCTCTGTCAAAACATAACTCAATACCGTAAAACACTGTGTGAGCCCACCTACAGTGGTGATTACAGCTGCCCCACATTACAGGATCATTTCCATTGCCACTCACCCCATTGCAATTGTTGCGGCTCTGCATGAGACGTAGTAAGACTTCTTTCCTTGCCTTTCTCAACTCTTTATCACTGCCTGTAAACTTAAACGTCTGTCTGAATTGACACATTAGCCTGGTCTGCTGTTGCCTTCAGCAGCATGTGATGAGCTGAGTGATCTCCTTTTATTTGGATTTCAACCTATGCTTTACATAATTAACCAAACTACAAAATATACCTCCTTTCTTTTAATGGTGTAAAAAATAATGTTTTCTTAGTAACTTCACAATTACAGTACAGTATGTTCATGTCAATGCCTGGCTTTTTTGTTACCAAAAGCAGTTGCAGTCCACAGCCACTGGGTGGAAACAGTGCTCTTTTTTTAACAGTCCACCTTTCATTAGGTGGGAATATGGGTGATTCTCTTACAGAGATTTAACAGCTGAAGGCCCAAATATCCGTAATTTCTTTTTAAAAAATGTCTGAATCCTGTATTTCCTTATTCCAGTTCTAGTACAATATTAGGTCGGTACAGGCACATTCCTAGACTTTATATTCTTTGAATGCTTTCTTCCTATACTAAATGCTTTCTCAGAAAAGGCTGCTGTGTCTCAGATCCAGAAGCATTTAGATTAAAATAGACGCCAAAGCATTTGGTAAGAGCGCAATTCTTCTTCTTCTTATTGCCATCTTAATCACACACCATCACCCATGACATATTGTTATTACATACTGTACAGAAGTAAAAGTTTGCTAAAAACACACAGGAACATACTGTAGTGCTCTCAGGTTCATGTGGGTATGCGCCCTCACTGCTGCCGCCTCAGGTCGGCCCCCACCGCTGGGGAATCAAACCCGGGCCTCCAGCATTACTCAACAGGGACCCAGGTGTCGCGATTATAGTTCCCCCTCCTTAAGGGTGCTCCAGCCCGTTCACGTGAGACTTCATTCTATGCACCTGCTCCCTATTCCCAGCCCACCTTAAAAGCCAGGCGCTGACGCTC